GCCTCGGGGCGCTCCCGGGATCCGAACCCGGGCCGCCAGCATCAGAGCACGCGCACTTAACCGCTAAGCCACGGAGCCGGCCCTACCCTCCCTTCTTTTAAAGCAGATTTTTGTTGGCATTCCAGCCTCGTAATCATCAGATTGTGCTCTCAGGTCTAGAACGGTTTTGGCCCTGAGAAAGCAGAAGTGTAAGGAGTGTGAATTAAGCATTACTAAACATGTTTGAATTCTTTCCTCGTCTCCCTTTTTTTTTGAATAATGCTTTAATTTGTTTTAACTCTTTGTGCCATGTTTATAAGACTGGAGTCCCTCACTCCCACGCCCACCCCACTCCCCTTGATGTGTCTCGTATTCCTTGATCCTGACACAGAATACCAGGGTTATATTTGAAGGTCGACATCTAAGAAGGCTGGCTTTTGTTATTAATCGTTCTTAGAACCAAAGGAATAAAATGAATAGTTGGTGACTCAAACAGCAGATGTAGACAGGAAAGGATATATTACACTAATAGCACCTTAGAATAATAAATTCTTATGAGATTCTAACAGTACTTTAATAATTAAGCTTTTAATTTTGAGATAAAAACATAAAAACTGTAGATTCACGTGCAGTGTTCAGAGTTCCCATGTATCCTTTACCCATTTCCTCTAATGGTAATGTCTTAAAAAAATATAGTACAATGTCACAACTGTGACATTGACATTGGTACAGTCAAGACATAACATTTCTGTCATCAAGGATCCCTCATGTTGCCCATTTACAATCACACTCACTTCCCTCCTGCTCCCACCCCCTCCTTAACCTCTGGCAACCACTAATCTGTTCCCTTTCTATAATTTGCATTCATGGTACATTTGTGAACAGTTTTGTGTGAACATAAGTTTTCATTTCTCTGCTGTAGATGCCCAGGATTGTCATTGCTGAGTGCTAAGTGGTATCATAGCTGCATGTTTAGTTTTTTAAGAAAGTGCCAACTGTTTTCCCCAAAAAGGCTGTGCCATTTTTCTTTTTACACCAGCACTGCATGAGTAGGCCAGCTTCTCTCTATCCCTACGAGCTTTCAGTGTTGTCGCTTTTTTTTTTCAAAGATAGGTGTGTAGCAATATTTCCTGATTTTAATTTGCATTTCGTAATGGCTAATGATGGACAGTTTTCATGTGCTTTTTCCCTCTATACATCCTTTTTGGTGAAATGTCTCTTCATGTCTTTTGCCCATTTTCTAATTAGATGTTTTTGTTATTACTGAGTTTTAAGATGTCTTTATATATTTTAAATACTAGTTTTTTCTTGGATATGTGGTTTGCAAATATTTTCTCCCAGTCTATAGTTTGTCTTTTTATCCTCTTAATGCAGGGGTTTTTGTAGAGCAGAATTTTGTAATTTTGATGAAGTCTGATTTATCAGTTTTCCAGTTAGCTAATTTACCAGTTAGCTGCCACTTAATATCCTTTGTCCATTTAGCATACCAACATAGATCATCATCCTTTTTGATCTGCATTTCCTCTTTACATTAAAGATAGTGATATTTTGGGCTATAATATTTGTTGTTTTATTCTATTTGGACTGGTAGTTCACAATGCATTTTTGAGTAGTTTCTGCTTAGAATGTTCTAGACAAAGCAGAAAATGATCCTAATTTGATTTTCCCCGAACAGCCTTGGCTGTGTGTGGGCGTCACAGTTGTTTGTAATGTCTGTGAAAATTATCCTCAGTGTTTTTCCTGAACATAAGTGCCGTCACGTCTCCAGGTGTTGGTGCTGTGGTGGAGTAAGTATGTGTCAGTTTTGGAGCAGATTTGGTGTTTCCTGTCTTGTGTGATTTGTAAACAGGCGTAAGCCAGTGTTGCTGCAGAATGGCATCAATTTGAGTCTGTGACACATGAGGCGTTATGCTGAGTTTCCTGACAAGTATGTTAAATATCGATCTTTTCAGTAAGACATAGTCGTCCTTAGTGTGAACGGTGAATTTGTTTCAGGCTGTTACAGTGAGTTCCATGTCAGATGCTTAAAGTTAAACGAAGTTTAAAAAGCCTGATGGGATCTGCCATCCTGTGTGTTTTCAGCTGCCAGAATCCGCGCTCAGAGACCTCATCGTGGCCACCGTTGCCGTCAAGTATACTCAGTCTAACTCCGTGTGCTACGCCAAGAACGGCCAGGTAACCGAGCGGCCAGCCTCACCTGAGGGGCAGTTGTTTTACCAAATGATATTCTGAAATCCATCTGCCTCACGTCCTATGCCACTTGAAAAGGAAGTTTTGCCAAATTTTTCTCCCCTGGGTTTGTCAGTATTTCCTCAGGAACTTGGTGGACTGTTAAAGCTCGTGATGGTTATGAAGTATCTTTGGAACAAATTAAAATTAGTCGTTGCTTCTTGCCTAGAATGAGCTGGCATACTTTGGATTGGAGAGAATCTAATAGCTGCTACAAAACTGGTTTATTCCCCCTCCACACACGCTTTTGGTAGTATTTCCAGTGAAGAGGAAGTAGAGAATGGTAGTGGCACCATCCAGCCCATTATCTTTGCAGATCATAGGGCATTTTCACGTCTGTTTCTCAGGTTATTTTACCAAGAATCCATAGACTAGGGTTTAACGTGATCTTTTAAAATCAGGTTTACTGAGGCATAGTTTATATACAGTAAATTCACCCTTTTTAAGCGTAGAGTTTGACCAGTTTTCACGAATCGTATAGTTGTGTGAGCACTTCTGCAATCAGGGTCCTGAACATTTCTTAGTCTCTGATGTTAAGCAGGATATTCAACTGCTTCCTGGTGTACCGAGCCATGGAATGCAGGACCGGTTGAGTTCCTCACTCGGGCTCCTCACACTGGATGAGCCTGGTGTTGTCGTAGCTTCAAGCAGCACCGGGAGCCCTTTCTTCTCACGTTGTCTTGAGCTCTTCTCGCAGCATTTGTTAAGATATTTGGCCCAAAAGTGGAAGTGGGGTAGGTGGATGTTAATTAGCATGTGACCTGGAAGACCCTTTCAGATTCAGAATTCTTGGGATTGCCAACTGTTAAAAGATTGGTAGTCTCTAATAACAGAAACCTGGGAGATTGTGGCTACTGGGCTCCTTGTGCTCAGGTTCTAGTAAGTTCCAGTAAGACCATGCTTCACTACTGATGTCCAGGAGTTCTAGAAACTTCCTGAATATCAATAGTCATACTTCACATGTCACTGAAGAGGTAAAATATATAAATGGCAGTCATAAACCTCCTACCTTCACCTTTTAATGACTTAAGAATTATTCACATTCTTTTATTTTGGCCGATATTTTCTTCCACAAAATTAATAGGTAGGTTTTGGGGAAAATAACATAAAAGATCCTTTGAGGAAAATGTGTTGTTGGAAGAGGGATTCATTTTAATGTCCATTTTCTTCAGGTCATCGGCATTGGAGCAGGACAGCAGTCTCGGATACACTGCACACGCCTTGCAGGGGACAAGGCAAACTCGTGGTGGCTCAGACATCATCCACGGGTGCTTTCAATGAAGTTTAAAACTGGGGTGAAGAGAGCGGAAATCTCCAATGCCATCGATCAGTATGTTACTGGAACCATCGGCGAGGTAAAGGCTTGTCTTTGGGTGGTGGATGGAGTGTATTAAATATGTTCATCATTTTCTGTGTAACACACTTCACCATCATCACTAGAGAGAAAAATATATTTTTCTTGAAATTCTATATTGTGTAAAATTGTTAGTCTAAACTTCTTAGCAATTCCCCACTGTCTTCTGTCTCATTTAACTTCCGTCATGGTCCTTCATCCCTTTCCGTCTCCACAAACCTTCTCTGTCTTTTTAAATTATAACCACTGATTTCATTTTATATATTTGCACTTCCCCTGTTGATGATAAGCTTTTGATGGCAGGGACTTTTTCAGTCACCTCGCGGTGTCTGTCATGGAGCCAAGCCATGTGCTTGCTACGTGAGGGGTATATTCAGCATTAAATACAAATTACCTGATTGCAGGTAACCAGTGTCTTCCTTCTCCCTCCACGTTTTCTGCAAGCTCCATTAACAACTCAATATATTTTTGTTACATTTCACATTCTTTGATGTCTTCTGTTTTGAAGAACTTATATGGGAGTATTAAAACTGCACATATCAGGTAGACTGCCAAAGAAATAGAATTTAGCGCAGTTTCTGGACATAGCAAGCGCTTAACAAATACTGGAGGGAAACAAGAGAAAGGTCCAGTAATCCGAATCTCAGGGGTTTTTGAAGGGGCGAGTCCATTACGCTGAGTCGTCCGTTCAGGGGCAGGAATCTGTGACTTGCTAAGTGTCACTGAAGGGTGAGGCTGCAGAGTGTGCCTTGTGACTGAAGTCCTCGAAACAGCCTTTCATTTTTACTTTATTCTTGTATTTTTCTGTTTGATATAACCCAGCAAAACCATGCTAAGTGTCCTAGAAGTCTTCATACGTGAACAAGAATAAAAGGATGTTCTTTAAGCCAAAACATCACCCAAAATGGAAGCACCTTCTTAAAATATGATTGTGAATCATATTTTGATTTATCTGTGAGATTTACTGTACTTGAGGCTAATAGTATAAATGTAGTTCTAGAATATCCGTCACCATCTGTTTCCTTACTTGCTTTGATACAGGGACATGCAGTAGTAGATTTAACCTAAGCAGAGATTAAAGAATAAAATATATTTGCAATAAGCGGATTTAGAAAGCAAATGATATAGTCTTTACTTGGTACAGTTAGAATCTTTTTTCTTCCTTAATGAAATGCTGAAAGCATCCAAAAAAAAGAGATTCTAGAAGTATGAGCTTGAATGTAAATAAAGGTCATTATTTATAATTAAGAAGTCCTAGGAAAAATGCCCAGTGCTTTCCAGTATTCTGATTTGCATCAGGTAAGATGGTGTCAGAAACCTTCCTCTGCCCTTTCCCCCACCTCATAGGATGAAGATTTGGTAAAGTGGAAGGCACTCTTTGAGGAAGTCCCTGAATTATTAACCGAGGCAGAGAAGAAGGAATGGGTTGACAAGCTGAGTGAAGTTTCTATCAGCTCTGATGCCTTCTTTCCTTTCCGGGATAATGTAGACAGAGCTAAAAGGGTAAGTATGGAATTGATTTGTATTTGCATAGAATTGATCATTATGCAGAAACTATTTCAGAAATCCTGCTTCTGATTTTTAAGTTCCGTGAGTTATATATCCAAGCTTTGGCAATGTGATATATCAGTAACATTTAGAGAATTACTTTGACTTCTCCGTTTGATGTATAGATGACCCAAATCCTCTTATTTTGTCTTGACTGAGGGAGTCAGTGTGCAGTGTGAATCGTTAGTATATGCTTTATAGAGGGGGATTTTGAATTTTGTGTTTTTTCACATAAAACTGTGTTGTGAAAGTCGATGTCTATTTTCCCTCAGAGTGGTGTGGCGTACATCGCTGCTCCTTCCGGTTCTGCAGCTGACAAAGTTGTGATTGAGGCGTGCGACGACCTGGGAATAATCCTGGCTCATACGAATCTCCGGCTCTTTCATCACTGATTCCGTCACGTGATATCTTATGGCTTGCTCGTGTGTCGGGGGAAAATCATGTGTGACGTTGTGAAAAAACCTTTAAAAACAATAAAACATTAAATCTTAATCCCGGATCCAGAGAGTTTGGTAGTTCATTTAATTTGTCTTAAAGGTATGGGCTCTTTAGAGTGACAGGCATTACACACAGTATTTATGGCTGAGAAATACAGGAGCGTCCCTACCTCCTGGAGCTCAACTCATCCCAAAACATTACCTGTGTGAACATCTAAAAATCATCAAGAGAGCCCGAGAGGGAGCAGCCACCAGCGTAGATGGCTCCAGCCTCTTAAAGCCCCACTGGTTTGCTCATGGGGGATTCACTCTTGAAGTTTCTTTTAATCACAGTTGTAAAAAGCTTGATTGTCTACCTTCTTAACAAACAGCAGGCTGTATCCTGTGAACTGGAACCTTCGAGGGGACTAGTAAGTCTTCTGTTGGCCTCATAGATGGATAATGCTAGTACATATTTTGCCCCCTGTGTTAAGTGAAATGTTTCCCATAATTTCAGCAAGCCCTTGATGTCCCCTCTGGAGCTACATGAAAAACGTAATCAGTGTTTGGCACCCAGGAATGGACCCAGTGTTCCGCTTACAGGCTGCCCCTGGGAAATGGGGCACGGTGGTAGCATAGCGCCTCCCTGCAGCAGGACATGACTCTGCATCTATGTACCCTGCACGTGTGGTCCTGACTGTTCACTTATACGACACCTGAGACCAACTAAAACCTTTTGTCATCTTTCACTTAATAGATGAGTCCCAACTTCTTCCTATGTCTTTAAGCCACCTCCTCCCTAGATTAAAATTTAAGTTTTTTTTTTTTTAAGGTTGTCGTTTTAGTCATTAATATATTGGCAGGTCTTCCAGTCCTTCCCTCCTACGTTGAAACAAGGCTGACTCGTGTGACCAATAAAATACTGTAGAAAAAATGTATGACTTCTGAGAGTAGGTGATAAAAGGCATTGCAGCTTCAGCCTTTGTTTCTTGGATGGCTTGCTTTGGGGTGAGCCACTGCTGTGTTGTAAAGACATTGAAGCAGCCTTCCGCAAGGAGAAACCTTACCAACGCTAGCTGCCATCCGTGTGAGTGAGCCGCCTTGGAAGTGGCCCTCCAGCCTCCAGCTCAGGCTCAGGCAACATCTGGCTGCAGCCTCCTGAGACCTGGCCAGAACTGCCCAAAGGAGCTTGTCATGAATTCCCGAACCATAGAGACAGAGATGTGTTATTGTTGTTTTAAGCCACAAAGTTTTGGGGTACTTTGTTACGTAGCAATAAATAGCTAATATAGATTTTGGCTTATACGTGATGAAGTGTGCATTCTATCTCGCCCAAGTTATTGATTGTTCTTTGGCTTGCCCAAAGGTTAACATAAAGGTATAGTTGTTGGAATAATTGTTGCTCTGTTCAGTGGTATATTATCTAACCACGCTTACACAAGTATTTTTAAGAGTGGTACTACAAAGTATCTCAATGAGATATAAATTCTTTTGTCCATATTTATCAAATTCATTCTCTAATCACGGTTTTATATTTGCAGACAAGAGGACTGTGTGAGAGCTAAAATTCCACCCACCCTCACTTCCCAGGTATGGAGCTACAATAGTAATTTTTAAAGACTTGAAATGCTTTATAGAGTATTTCCTTTTACTCCTTTTTCAGATAATTTTTTGTTTTGGACCTCAGGCAGACAGAATTGGAATAATCATAAGCCTTAGTTCATGACAGACTGGTCTGTGCACATATTTTTAGTAAAATAGTAGAAACGTAGCCTCATCTCCCAAAACAAAAGCTAAGATCTGGACAATAACTTACATCTAACCATTGGGTGCCCCTGACTTCCCCACCCCATCCCATCTTGGGGTCTCCTCATAGATAACCACATTCTGAGCCCCAAGTTCGTCTTTGCATCTCTGTATTCCTAAAAATTAGAAATCTTTGCCTACCTACCCAAAGGTGAAGATTTTCTCCCACGTCTTCCTCTAGACGATTAATAGTTTTCACTATTAGGGTTAGGTCCGTTATCAGTTTGTTTTAGTGTGATGTAGGGGTCAAGTTTCATTTTCTTTCCATACATTTATCCAGTTGTTCCAGCAACATTTGTTGAAAACACTCTTGCAGCTGAATTGCCTTGTACCTCGATTAACCACATTTGTGTGGGTCTATTTCTGGACTCTGCTCTGTTCCATTGTCCTAATGCCAATACCACCCTGTCTTGATTATTGTAGCTTTATAGTAAATTTTGAAGTCAAGAAGTGTGAGTGCTTCATGTTTGTTCTTTTAAAAGATTATTTTGGCTGTTCCAGGTCCGTGGCATTTCCGTATAAATTTTAGAATCAATTAGTTAATTTCTACGATAAAGCCTGTTGGGATTTTGATTGGAATTGCATTGAATCTATAGATCAATTTGTGGAGAATTGGCATATCCCCTTCTTTCCCTTTGAAGATTGAGCCCCTCTTTTCCACCAGCCTTTGGTTGTTCTCCAGTGGCTTCACATAGATTTTTTAATGTTTTTGTCCAGTGTTCATAATTATTTGCAGAAAGATGAGTCCAATACAATTTGCTCCATCATTGAAGGAATTGGAAACACCAATGAATTCCCGATAGGAAAATTTCTAATCACTGCTTCGGTTTCTTAAATAGCTTTTTAAGTCAGTTCTAGCAAAATGTTTTCCCCCCCTAGGAATTTGACCATTTTGTCGTAAGTTTTCAAGATTGTTGACATATAGTTTTGAGTAGTAGTATGAATTTTTAAAAGTTCTTTATTATGGAAATCTTGGGAGGGACACACAATTAAAATAGGTAAACTCTATGTACCTATCATCCCCCTGTAAGTAACTCATGACCACTCTAGTTTTTTCTACTGTTTCCCCACTTCCCACCCCTCAATACTAATTATTTTGAAGCAAATTCTAGGTATTTCAATCGGTTAATCTAAAAGTAATTTCAAAAAAATAATTTTTTAAAAGGAGTATTTTTAGTCTTTGATATAAATAACCACACTTATCAGCTGAGAGAGCCAAGAAGTAATGACACTCAGTAGCAACGAGCACACCCAGTGCCAAGATCTTGGTTTCTACTACAGTTCTCCAAGAAAAGGATCTAGGACTTGCTGGAGAAACAGCTGACTCTAGTCTAGGGCAGGAAATAATACAAGATGAGACGCTTGGAGCATCTTACAGTGCCAGAAAGTAAGCAAGTGCTTAAAAAACGGCAAAAACATAATGATGGGAATATGTCAGAAGACGTAGGAGCCAATTAAAAGAGCTCCCAATGTCCAAAGCTGGAACAATTTGAGCAACAAAATAATGTAGTGTTGGATTTTAACCCAAAGTATCAAATATCTGTGAGTTCATGCTGATGTAAATAAATGATTGAATAAATAAATGGAGAATAAACAAATCTCCCATGCAGAAGAATTCTAAGTAATTTGAATAGATTCTGCACCTTCGAGGAGGTGAACATAACTCCCCACCCCTAACATCTGGGCTCTGCATAGTGACCTCCTTCCAAGGAGTATAGTGTGGGGAGGGGGACATAAGCGTAAGTGTCCAGTGGAGAAACCCCACAAACACTGCCTCAGCCAGGTGATCAAGGTTAACCTCAACAGTGATGTCATGTTGATAGTTTGTACCTCAAAACGGGAGTGACAGTTTACCTCTTTGGTCTTCTTTCCAAAAACCCATAAACCCAGTGTAGTCATGAGAAAAACAGCAGACAACTCCCAGTTGAAGGACATTCTACAAAATACCTTACCAGGACTCCTAAAACTGTCCAGATCATCAAAAACAAGGGAAGTCTGAGAAACTCAGTCTAGAGGAGCCTAAGGAGAAATGACAACTAAGTGTAACGTGGAATCCAGGATAGAATCCTTGAACAGAAAAAGGACATTAGGTGAAAACTAAGAAAACCTAAATAAAGCATGTAGTCTAGTTAATATGTATCAATGTTGATTCATTAATTGTAACAAATGTACCATAATAACATAAGACATAATAAAAGGGGAAACTGGGTGTGGGATATATGGGAACTCTACACTATCTTCACAGTTTTTTCTGTTAATCAAACTATTAGAAAATAAAAAAGTTTATTTTAAAAAATATATAACCACGATTCTAGCGTCACACTAAAAAGCTTAACAGTCATTCTTAATAGCAGGTATCCAGTCACTATCAGATCTCCTACACTCGCTTTTTTTTCTTTTTTTCCAGTTTGTTGGTAATAAGATCCAAGCCTGGTACCACATTGCGTTTGATTGCTGTATCTCAAGTCTCTTAATTGATTGCTTCCTCCTCTTACATTTTTTTCTTGCTGTCAGTTATTGAAGATACCAGCCCTTTGGTTCCATCGTGTCCCGAATTCTGGCTTTTGCTGTTGCATTCCTGTGATGTCATTCCGTTTGTGCCTCTGCTCCTTTATTTCGTGTGAAATGATAGCTGTAGTGAGATAAATTTTTTTGAAGTTCGGTCTATCAATAATTGAGAAAGACGTGTTGAAACCTCTCTCTGTGGGCCGGCCCTGTGGCTTGGTGGTTAAGTGCGCGCGCTGCGATGCTGGTGGCCCGGGTTCGGATCCCGGGTGCGCATCGAGGCACCACTTCTCCGTTCA